CAGACCATCCACATCACCAGCAGGAAGTCCGGTGCTTTTCGTACCAAAGAAAGACGGCTCCCTACGGTTATGTGTGGACTATCGAGCGTTGAACAACATCACAATCAAGGACAGGTATGCCCTGCCGTTAATCAACGAACTACACGATAGATTTCAAGGAGCAAAGATCTTCAGTAAGCTAGATCTGCGAGGAGCATACAACCTGATCCGAATCAAGGCTGGGGAAGAGTGGAAAACAGCATTCCGCACCCGCTATGGCCTATTCGAGTATCAAGTCATGCCCTTTGGGCTAACAAACGCACCCGCATCCATGCAACGACTGATGAATGATGCTTTGCACGAATACTTAGACATCTTTACCATTGTCTACCTAGATGATGTCCTGGTGTATTCAGCAACCAAGGAGGAGCATGTCAAGCATGTCAAACTCGTCCTGAAGAAACTAAAGGAGTACAGCTTACTCCTCAAACCAGAGAAGTGCGAGTTCCATAAAAACCAAGTCGAATTCTTGGGTTACATTATTGGAACGCACGGCATCAAGATGGACCAAGCAAAAGTAATGGCAGTGTTGGAATGGCCAACACCGACCACGGTCAAGGAAGTGCAAGCCTTCCTAGGCTTCGCCAACTTCTACCGAAGATTCATCTCGGGATATTCCAAGGTAGCTCAACCACTCACGGAGCTTACCAGAAAGGATCTCGAATTCAAATGGACGGACAAGGCAGAGGCTGCTTTCCAGGAACTTAAGACGAAGTTCACGGAAGCACCTATCCTTGCTACATTTGACCCTGCAAAGAAGATCATCCTCGAAACGGACTCTTCTGACTTCGCAATTGGAGCATGTCTGAATCAACCAGACGAGAACGGTAAGTTCAAACCAATCGCGTACTACTCTAGGAAACTGTCACCCGCGGAACTCAATTACGACATCCACGACAAGGAGCTACTGGCTATTGTCGTTGCCTTTGAGCAGTGGCGAGTATATCTTGAGGGACCCACCTACCCTGTGCAGGTATGGACGGATCACAAGAACCTCATATACTTCACCACGACCAAGGTTTTAAACCGCAGACAAGTCCGCTGGGCAGAAACCCTCGCAGCCTACAACTTCACGATAACCTATCGCAAGGGCTCCGAGAATGCAAGAGCAGACGCTCTCAGCAGACGGACCGACTACGCCGGCCCAAAGGAAGAAAGACCTAGAGCAATTCTGAAGAAAACAGATGCAGGAATACAGTACAACGAGTTACTAGCGACGATCTCAGTCATCGAAGATACAGAACTCGAGGAAAGACTCAAGAAAGCTTACGCAACAGACGAATGCGCCAAGCGAGTCTTGTCCAAAGTCGAAGGCGACTTCACCATCGACGAACAAGGATTGATTCGATACAAAGGGTTAGTGTATGTCCCAAGTCAAATGAGACGCCCGCTGGTGCAAGAACAACACTCGTTACCAGCACACGGTCATCAGGGAGTAACACGAACCTTCGAACGAATCACCCGACACTACTACTTCCCAGGTATGAGGAAGCAGGTAGAGACAGTGGTAAGAGAGTGCGACGTTTGCAGCAAGTCAAAATCCAATAGGCACCTGCCATACGGACAACTCAAGTCGACACCAGTACCAAAAGGAGCGTGGAAATCAATAGCTTTGGACTTCATCGTCAAGCTTCCACCCTCCAAGGACCCGTTAACAGGAATAGAATATGACTCTATCCTCGTCATCACGGAAAGACTCACGAAATATGGGAAGTTTATACCATATCTAGAAGCTAGCGACGCCGAGGCGCTCGCATATACCTTCATTCGAGTCATATTAGCCGATCATGGGATGCCAGAAGAAATCATCTCAGATAGAGACAAGCTCTTTACTTCGAAATTCTGGAAATCATTGATGGCGCTACTGGGAACAAATCATAAGCTGTCAACAGCTTTTCATCCCCAGACAGACGGCCAAACAGAAAGATTAAATCAGACCCTTGAACAGTACCTGCGAAGCTATGTCAATCATCAACAGGATAACTGGGTTCAGATCTTACCCATCGCACAGTTTGCATATAACAGCGCGATGACAGAAGCAACGAAAGTCTCACCGTTCTTTGCCAATTATGGCTACCAGCCAGAAGCATATAGGCAACCAAGACCGGATGAATCACGAGCTGAACAAGCCCTGATCGTGGTGGAACAACTGAAATCGTTCCACGAACAACTTGCGACGGACATCCAATTCTTAAATGAACGATCCGCCGCATACGCAAACAAGAAGCGCAGTATGGAACCTGCCTTCAAGGAGGGGGATAAAGTATACCTACTCCGGAAACATATCAAAACGAAACGACCAAGCACAAAGTTGGACTTCAAGAAATTGGGACCATTCAAAATATTGAACAAAGTCAGCTCAGTTAATTACAGACTGCAGCTACCCAGGAAGTCTAGACTACACCCGGTATTTCATGTCTCACTACTGGAACCAGCAAGAGGAAATACCCCAATTGCGACCGACACTGAACTCCAACCCGAGAATGAGATAATCGAATATGAGGTCAAAGCGATCCTAGACAGAAGGTTAGTAGGACGTCGAGAAGAGTTTTTGATAAAATGGGAAAATTACGAACCTACGGATAATTCGTGGGAACCAACAAGGAACATCAGCAAAGAACTGCTGGAGGAATATCGACGCCGCCATCCGCCAGCCATTGATCCCAAGATGCAGGGGAGTAGGCCAGTGGATCGGAGGAAGCGAGGGTCCCGGTCACAGACGAGGAGGCAGCGCTAACTGCCTGTTCCTCAGCCTCAACAGCGTCACGCTTCTCAGCAGCCACACGTTCGGCCTCCTCTGCCGCATCAAGCTCGTCGAGGGTTTTCAAACCTCGCCGGAGCATATCTTTACCACGGGTTCGGATGAGGCGTTTCTGCTTCCGCAGACGAAGTAACTTCGAAAGGGTTTCTTCCTCTTCGCGATCCAGGCGATCCTCCTCCCGTTCGAGCTTCACCCAGTCGGGATGCTCAGGACCCATACAGTCACACTTTTCTTTCAAGTTGCGACGAACGCACTCGGCGCACCGCCGTGAATCATTTGGAGACGACACGCAAGTAATGTTTCGCCTCACGCAGTTCGAGCAAGAATCCATTTCGGGTAGTTCGTATCCGTGGTTCTTTATTTGACGGACAAGATCGTTGCGTTCCTGGAGTTTGCGGGCAGTGTCAGTAGGCATGTTGCATGTTGAAGGACTCGCTGAGGAGCAGCAGAGTCCCGGGGACATGGACGTACTTATAGGATTCGAGACGAATGCCCAGGGGAAGGGAGCGAGTGTTACGACGGAACAAGAAGGCTGGCCAACTACAGGACAGGAAGGAGGGAGGTCGCATGAGACCGGCCCTGGTACCTGGAGGGGCAGCGGGGAATAGTAGTTCCGAAAGTATCACGTGACGGACTCGCAGGATGATGAGAAGAGTCCTAAGAGTCCAGGACTCCGAGGACTCGAGTGAGTTCCCAGGAGTCCACTAGGCACGTGATGGACTCGCAGGATGATGAGAAGAGTCCTAAGAGTCCAGGACTCTGAGGACTCGAGTAAGTTCCCAAGAGTCCACTAGGCACGACGCCACTATATAAGTAGATAGTATTTCCTTAGATAGGAGCTTCGTGCTCAACTCAATACAGTATTTGTTATATACTAGTAACGTGTTACTTGAAGCCTTTGTGTCTGATCCCCTGCCTCCTCTGATAAGTAAACCCTTACGCAAGAGAACCTCTGTGTCTTCTATCGTTTAGAAGTCAGCGTTACAACTAGCTGCCGCCACCTCACTGGCGCCAAACCCATACGTATGCTCTGTCGCTGCATAATTATGCTGCGTAAAGACATACGTGAGCATGCCCACATTTAGTTTAGACTGTAGAAGTAGAGCCTTGGCAAAGGCTCTACTCTGACAATGTAGGATATTGAGTATATTATCTATATAACGTATTTCACATGCAAGTCGCCATCCCGGGCGAGTCGCCACTAAAACACTAAAAATTGACTATTACTACGACTACTACACCGCCACCCTACATAATAACCCTTATTCAATTGTAATTGATTCCTGGCGCCTCTCGCACGTACGGGAATTATGGCCCATAATACCACATAAGCCACAACGCTTCTGTCGGCTCTTAGAGCCCACCTGCCGACTACTCTCACTTGCTACCTCCGTACGGACTTGAGCTTCAACCTCAGCACTCTGAAGGATATCCTCTCCCTCTCGTACGGAGAGCCTACCGCCTTGCATTATACGCCTCTTGCGCTTCCTTTCCCTCCTCTTTTTCTGTTCATTTGCTGCTTGTAGAGCCTTAACTTCTGCCTTGAGTAGAACAGCAGAATGCATCATAACTTGCGCCCCCTTAACAAGGCAGCTAATAGCATCATTAATTGAGGTAGGAGAGCTATTCTGATGTTGTACAACACGGTTCTTAATATGCTCTGTTTGAAAATCAAGCTCCCTTATAGTTTGAGGAGTCTTTGAAGTCCAATTGTTACTCTCAACTATAGGAGGAGTTGGAGTCCTCAAGTGTAGATTCAAGTGAGAGAGGACACTCTGTGGCTCGTATGGAACTAGTCCTGTAGCTCGGAATCCGCTCTTGATGTTCTGCTCTGTAAATGTAGCTTTAAATGCTTCTTTGAATGCAGAGAGAAACTCAAGCTTTGTGATATGGTTTAGCCTGTTCCATATGAAGGTTTCAATCTGATGTCCATACGAAAGCTTTAGTGGAGCAAAGCAGCTAACGTCAAGTGGTTGAAGAATGTGTGAGGAGTGTGGTGGCATACAGAGGGTGATTATCTTCCGTTCTGTACAGTAGTGTTGAAATTGAGCTGAGAGGTGGCTCTCATGTCCGTCAAGAATAAGAAGGCGATAGGTTCCGATCGAATGACTGTTTGTATGTCGATCGAAGTGTTGAATCCACTCATACCCAATTGAATTTGAAGTCCACCCATTCTCACTTAGCGTAATCACCCAATCGTCTGGCAATCCTGAGTCCTCGTACCAAGCAGAGAGGTGATTCTGCGCCTTGAAAATGATGAACGGCGGGAGTGCCCATCCGTACGAATTGACACCTTGGATAATTGACACCCACTCTCTATTCCCTGGCTGTATAGTCTTTGGACGACTCTTTGCTTCCGAGCTTGTAACTACCTTTGCAGTAGCAATAACTCCCATGGCAAACCCTGCTTCATCAAAGTTGTAGATATCCTGCTCTAAGATGCCGTATTTTGCAACCACGTTCCGTACAAGAGAAAACCACTCTTGAATTATCTTAGGATCTTCACATTTTGCTCGTTTATAATCGTACTTCCGACTGAACTTTGATTTAATTTCCGTACGACGCTTAATAAAGGTAGTAGTCCAGTTCTTCCCAACAGGGCTCTCGCCTCATTCAGAGAGTAGAAGGTCGGCCATTTCTTGCACAGCTTGCGGTCGGGGTGGAAATCCACGCGAATCTAGGTCGAGAATATATTGAACAAGAGCTGACTCTTCGTACAGAGTCAACTTACGTGAGTTAGGAGTAGAGTCGCGTCGAGAAGTTATACCACGAATCCGGTTACGTAAGGTTGTACGGGGCACATCGTATGATACTGCAGCTGCTTGAACAGTTTGACAATTGCCTTGTTTAATTGCTTGAATAGCTAATAGTATCCTGCCCTCTTGATTAGAGGATTGGGCTTGTGTTGGTCGTGGCATTGTTGACTATAGTTAAGTTGACACGTTTTGGTGTTTTGGTGGTGGCGACTCGCCCGGGATGGCGACTCACATGTGAAATACGTTACTCAATATGACTACAAATACTATAAACTGGGGCCAAATAACAGGCCCCAACGACTTCCTCCCACCCTCTCCTACCACTATTTGTGACCCTTTTGACGATATCGACGACGTCGATATCGTCAATAGCCCTCCCCCTCTACCCACCACTGCTGCTGCCAATCCTCCTCTGCAGGCTGCCCGCCCAAGCCGCCGCCAGCCTGCCGAAACTCTCCGCGCTCGTCTCGATACTACGATGAGAATTTTGCTTCTGCGCCTCTGTATAAGAGATGCAGAGCTCTACTCCCGGGCCTCCCGGAAGACCTTTGCGAAGAGACTGGCCAAGATCATATGACCTTAGCCCGTCTTGTCACAAATCTTGTCAAGCGACGACGAGAAGAGCTTGCTGGTGTCGGAAGTGGCGAAGAGGAGAGCTCGTCGGAATACAACATCGTTGTCGACGAGTGGATCCAAATCGTCGACAACGAGGTTGGGATCCTTCAGTCCCGGAAGAGAGCCCATGGGCTTCCGGATGCAGACACGGAGGATTCCCTGTCTATCCGACGGGATTTAACCCATCTATTGGGGTGAGAAGGAGCAGCGTATTGCCAGCCCCTTCTCAAAACGCCAGAGAGTTATCACTCTCTCAGACAACGATGACGACGCCTCTCTTCCACCCCCCTCTCCCTTCCACGAGAATGATGCCTCGCAGTCCGAAACCCCAGATATATCCTCCTCTTGCTCAAAGCCGTCACTGATCCCGATCCTGAGCGCGAACGACCCGTGCAAGCCGTGCGCCACAAGCGCCACATGAAACCCGATTCGAAGCTGATTTTCATCAGCTCGTCTCTGTATATGCCACAAGGGCAGACAATATGGAGGAAAACCGAGAGCGAGTTGAAGTACGCTCTCGGTTGGAAGGACTAGAAAACGGGTTAGCAGAGGTTCTTCAGTTGCTGAAGGGGGGGAGGAGAGGGGGAGGCGGGCATAGGAGGATCAAGGAGGAGGACGAGGAGGAGGAGACTTACCTGTAGTTATATAGCATAATTTAAATACTCCTCTACCATTGGTGGAGGAGTTCCAAATCTTCGACTTGTCTGGTTCCCAAGCAGACAAGTATAACAATTCATAAGCAGTACGGCGACAGCAAAGTATGCTGCCAACGGCTGCCCATCAGCCTTCAGTCCTTTACTGAAGGCTGTATAAGTCCAGAGCTGTTGAGTATGCCCAAAAACATGCTCAACAGCGATACAGACAGAAGAGAGCCTCTGGTTAAAGGCTCTCTCTGCAGGAGGCAAAGCGTGCCGGGAGAGGGGGTGTGTCCACGGCGATAGCACCCCATAGAAAGCCCGATATGCAGGATCACCGTACACAAGAAGTGTACGCTGACCTCCATAACGGTGCGGAGGCGTCTCTCTATTCCAGAGACCTTCCACATCCTCCAGTCGTTTACGGGTCCAATCCATGGACCCATAAGAGACCAGACAATGCCGTCTGGTCCCACGATAGCTTGCCACTTCTGACCATGCTGTCGAGAATGGCCAGAGTATACGGCACGCTGCCGTACGTAGTCTTGCGGATGGCAAAACCCATGAAAGGTGCCATCCACGAACCCCCAGATCCTCTCCCCTCCTCCTTGTGCCTCAATAGCAGTGGCAAACCCCTGAAGCCGACTATAAGTCAGCAAGGGGTGCCATGCAAGGCAGTCTTCAAATCGGCGGTACAAGAAGAGTACCACGTCATTGAAGACTGTAGACAGCCAGCTTGCGGAGCATCCGAAAAGCTCAACGCAAGTAATCCACCAGCCAGGATATGCGAGCCTTGCAAGGATGACGCAGAGGGCTGTCTCAGGTGAGGGGCGAACTGCATGCCGCCATTCGACTTCCTCGAAGCGGAAGAGAGGAAGGAGTCAGCGAATCTCATCGCGGGTAAACCTTGTAGATAGTTAGTAAGATATTATAAAAAGGGGGGGGGGCTTACCATAGTATTTGTTGGGTCTTATGTGGACCCCAGGAATCAAGGTCGAAGTCGAACTGCTTATACTCAAAAGCAGTTCGACGGCGTTGTTCCTTGCGCTGTTGTTGATAGCGGCGGTAATGTATCGCTGCTGCTATAGCAGCAAGAACGACGATATCATCGCCTTCCTCCATACTATCAAGGGGCAAAGGCAAAGGCAAAGGCAAAGGCAAAGGCAAAGGCAAAGGCAAAGGCAAAGGCAAAGGCAAAGGCAAAGGCAAAGGCAAAGGCAAAGGCAAAGGCAAAGGCAAAGGCAAAGGCAAAGGCAAAGGCAAAGGCAAAGGCAAAGGCAAAGGCAAAGGCAAAGGCAAAGGCAAAGGCAAAGGCAAAGGCAAAGGCAAAGGCAAAGGCAAAGGCAAAGGCAAAGGCAAAGGCAAAGGCAAAGGCAAAGGCAAAGGCAAAGGCAAAGGCAAAGGCAAAGGCAAAGGCAAAGGCAAAGGCAAAGGCAAAGGCAAAGGCAAAGGCAAAGGCAAAGGCAAAGGCAAAGGCAAAGGCAAAGGTGAAGACGAAGGAGAAGATGAAGGTGAAGACGAAGGTGAAGACGAAGGCAAAGATAAAGACGAAGGTGAAGGAACAGTGGTAGTTGCAGTAGTGGTGATTGTGGTAGCCAGTTATCACATTTGACCACAGTGATTATAGACCGCCGTTATGGTCAGCTGAGAATTCGATCGATCAGCATGATATTACTCTATTAGTCCATGCCTCCATGACCCCGCATTAGCCCTACACTAACTCTACACTAGTACTACGCTAGTACTAAAACTACTACTTGCAATCATGCCATGCAATTACGGCTGAAAAACTCTAGTGTAACATACTTCATAAGCAAGTTGCGCATATATGCAAGTTGCGCACACCCCCTCATTTTTACGTGTCTACATTCCTTTAATTCCACTTATCTCAACTAATGGACGCTCAATCGACCTATAAAGAGGGGCGAATTGCTCTTGCACTTCAGGCGCACAAAGATGGCTATTTTACAAGTTTACGGGTAGCCGCAGACGCGTACGATATTCCAGCTTCAACCCTTCGATATCGCGTCAAGGGAGGATGTGCGCGGAGAGGTTTACGAGCTGCAAATACCAAACTTTCATCCACAGAGGAGGAAACTCTTATTAAGTGGATATTGTCTATGGATGAACAAGGCTTACCTGTTAGAAGTAGCTCTATCCAGCAAATGGCGAATCTTCTCCTTCAAAAATGATCGAATATGGACCGCGATAGTCTTCTTACGGTTGGCAAGTGCTGGGTTCATAACTTCGTACAGCGCCATGACTCCCTCCAATCAAAGTACAACCGTAAATAGGATTACCAACAGGCTAAATGCGAAGATCCTACAATTATTCGAGACTGGTTTCAGCTTGTACAAAATACGGTTGCAAAATATGGGATCCAAGACGAGGATATCTATAACTTCGACGAGACAGGTTTCCAAATGGGCGTAATTTCGACCGCAAAGGTTATTACAGGTTCTGAAAGAGCTAGCCGTCCAGTATCTATTCAACCAGGGAACCGCGAATGGGTTACGGTTATTGAATCTGTGTCGTCATCTGGCTGGAGCCTACCACCAATGGTCATCTTTGAAGGAAAGGTTCATATCTCAACTTGGTACACAGATATACTCCCACAAGATTGGACAATTGCGCTAAGTGATAAGGGGTGGACGGACGACTCTTTAGCTCTCGCGTGGCTTACAGACGTCTTCGAGAAACATACAAAGGACTGTACGAAGGATGTATATCGTCTTCTAATCCTTGATGGACACGGAAGCCATTCTACACCCGCATTTGACCTATTTTGCACAGAGCACTCGATTATTACACTTTGCATGCCTCCACATTCCTCGCACCTTTTACAGCCGTTAGACGTAAGCTGTTTTGCAGTTCTAAAACGCTTTTACGGACAGCAAATCGAGGGGTATATGCGCATGGGCCTTAATCACATCGACAAGCCAGACTTCCTCACAGCCTACGTTTCAGCCTGTAACAAGTCTATGGCTACAAATATGGTCCGCAATGGGTTCTCAGCAACTGGTCTTGTTCCTTTTGACCCAGAACGGGTGCTTTCGAAGCTTAATACTCAGTTACGGACCCCTACCCCGCCCGCAAACCCCTCCCCTACCCAGGGTCCTTGGGTACCTGAAACACCCCACAATATCTATCAATTAGAGCTCCAAGCTCAGGCAATTAAGGGATATATCAGCCAGCGTACACAGAGTCTGCCAAGTCCTACAGATTTTGCACTCAACCAGCTCGTAAAGGGTTGTCAGATAGCGATGCATTCCGCTGTCCTTCTTGTGGACGAGAATAGACAATTACGGGCTGAAAATGAGAGACAAAAGAAGAAGAAGGCAAAGAGGAGGTCTTATATAGCTCAAGGGGGTGTTTTGACAGTTCAGGAAGGGTTGAATCAATCACAGGAAGCTAATTTAAAGCCTATAAAGGGGTTTACGGACCAGCCAGCCCAGCCGCAAATGCGTGCACCACGGACGTGTAGTATTTGCAGATCACTTGAGCATACAGCTCGTACGTGCTTACAGAGGGGAATTTCTAATTAGGGTAGTTCTATAATAATCAATTAATTTTGTTATTGCGTAATTCGTCCGTAAAATGCAAAAATGAGGGGGCGTGCACAACTTGCATATATGCGCAACTTGCTTATGAAGTACGTTACGGAAAATAGATTAGTCATCAGGAGCATCACATGGAGGAGGCCTACTTATGGCCGGTCTTTGGAGTAGATCATCAGACAAGGAATCATCAATCACCAGACCCTTGTAAGAATCGTTACATTTGGGGGTCTTGCCCGATATAGGGCAGCAAGGGTTTGGGGGGTGATTGGACAGTCAACGAAGAGACGCGTTCAGCCAGAGAGGTGCTTCAGCGCGGCAAGGAAATCAGAGCGAAGACCAGCCAGAAGGTGATTGCGACCAGTGAGGCAACGCAGTTCGAGAGTAAGACAAAGAGTGCGCGGAAAATCAGCCATATGCAGTTGAAACAGGGTCAGATCAGAGAGTCATCAGTGGCTCCAATATCAGACAAGCCAGCGAGGCCATCACGACACATATTCAGTAACACTCAGCAGCAAGTTGAGTTATCAGTTACCGCAGGTGCGCCAGAGAGCAGAGTGCGGCTTCCACAAGTGAGAAGCATCAATCGAGGGAGGTGGAGAATTCAGAGAGTGATGATTGGTCACCAGATTTGGCAAATCAATCAGCGCAAGGGATTCGTTAGCAGTGCCAAACCTAGAAGGCACCACCCACATCAGAAGAGCAGAAGACAAGAAGGAGAGTTCGCCCACCTCCATCACTTGTCAACAACAACACCAAGCAGAGAATCGAGTGTTGAGTCAGAAAGGAACACAAGCTTCTGTTACGGCCAGTCTTCACGAGCAGATGAGTGTGTGAGCTGTCAGAGAATCAGACAACCGATCAAGAGAGCAAGAATCAAGTCAACAAGAAGTGCATCACAGTATTGTGGCCAGTGTTCACCACTAAGAAGGACACTTGACGAACAAGTGCGAGCCCTTACAAGTGTTGCAGTGGTGGACGCAGGAAGCTGTGGTAGGTCTTCACACAAAGGCACCAGTCGGGAAAAGTGATTGATCCTGTAATGGTGGGTGCACCAGATGTGAGAATCTAGCCACCCAAGGAAGGGGATTGTTTTACTAAGACAACACACTGTCTTAAGAAACAGAGCCAAAGGGTTGTAGCTTAGACTATTCCACAATGCAGCAATCAGGTGTATGATGTAGTGGAGTGGTTTAGACAAGTTGTACAAATGTTAGACAAGTTGTAACAAATGTTGAGTCTGAGAACTCAGGGATAAGTCAGAGGTTAGCACCTCACTGACTTTTCAGAAACAAGGAGTAACAAGATCAATGCTTGGAAGCTTGGAAAAGATATGGAAGTATGTGATAGTCGATTTACTGTATTGTCTGCTTGCCCTTTCTTAAGGAAAGGGCAATCCTATTTATGCTAAAGGAGTGTAGTTCTCTCATTTTCCAAGACTTTCCATGACTAACCAGGCTTAGTAACTGTAGTCGATGTAAGAGAATCCCATAGAACCATCTCCTAGGTTCCTAGCCTATAGGAAGTGAAAGGAGGTCCAAGGTCAGAGTACCCCTATAGACAAATTATGTCATAACTTAACCAATCTTGTGGGTAACTAAGGAGCGATGACGTGTAATGAATTATAGACGGTTGTAGAAGCTTTTGGAGCTATCGGTCATGTTCCTAGGCCTCTAGTTGATAGAGATATGTCATGTGTAGTATTAGCCCAGTAACTAAGGAGTGATGTCATGTAATGAATCATAGAGGGTTGTAGAGATATGCTATGTGGTCATATCAGCCCAGTAACTAAGGAGCAATGACGTGTAATAAATCATAGAGGGTTGTAGCAATCGTTGAGTAGTATTGCTCTTGTTGTTGGTGTGACAAGCCAAAATATGTATAGTGACTTGTAGGTTTGAGAAAAAAATTTCTAAGTTTGCTCTTGAGTTTGATAGCAAACTGAGTGCAACGAATGTCAGTATGACACAGCTGTTCGGAGAATTAGTGACTTCAATTGAAGACTAGGATTTGTTGGGTAGAGTACTTTACACGTGGCGCGATTTATTTGTCGAGGATGTGCGCGATCTTCCAGCCACTACTCGGTGTTCCACCCACTCGCTTCGCTCGTAGGTGGCGACAGCAAGTTGTGCGTGCGACAGCAAGATGTGCGACACATAAAACGAAGAAAAAGACGCCTTATATATCAACTATATAACTATATAATTAAAACATAAAATCAATAGAACTACTATCACTATCGCTACTGCCACTATTGCTACTATCACTTTGATCCTTACTATACCGTAAAATGATCACTTTTGATTTCAACCCTTCCTTCTTCCGCTCTGCTACCCGCTTCCTCTCAACCTTACGCTCTTCAATTTCGATTTTACGTGCTTGCGCTTGTAGCTGCTTTACTACTTGGTCCGATTCCCTTGCTGCTCTTGCGTCTGCTTTTGCTTGCAACTTTGCTTTCTTCTCTTCCCGCATTTTCCGTGCATCTGATGCATATAACTGCCCTCCTTTCTGTAGTGATTTCCCTGCCCTTGCCTTTGCTGCCTTCTGCTCTACTGCACGTAGAGTCATAATATCTAGCTCGGTCTTATAGAGCTCTGCCCGGTGTAGAACAACTGTAGTTCCACGTGCAAATGATTGAAACCCTTCTCTTGAAGGCGATGAGAAAGCTTCCTCTGCTCTCTTCTGCCAATGTTCAACCGCTTGCACACTTTGCATAGTTGTTTTCGGTGTTGAGATAATATTATATGAAGCAAATGGCTCATAATCAGGTGTTTGATTCCGAGTCTCTTGTATCTTGTCAATTACAAGTGGAGGATTATATGGATATAGTCCTGTATTTCTCCAACCAGATTGAATTGTACGGACAGTTAGAGATTGCCGTCGGATTTGCGGGAGGTCTGAAAGGAACGTACGTAGCTTATACTCATAGTCGTAGCTACGTACTGCTTGATCAAGTGCCTTTTGATGAAAGTGTTTGCACTGCTTAAAAACCGCTACATCAAGAGGTTGTAATA